TAAAATGGGCTCTTTAGTGCTGCAGTAAGTGCAGTTTTCACAGAATATTTCTAGTGGGTTCTGTTTTCATGTTAGACAGATTGGAGCTGTGTCATATAAAAACATGCTTTTTATATATGTTTTAATGCATTATGGCAAAGCATTCTTAAGCTGTCTAAAGCTTTGTGGAGGGCTTTCTAAGAAAAACTGGTTCATATTTGTGTAATACTTGGGAAAATCACAAATAGCCTTGCAACCAGCCTGCCCACCAGGATTCAAAGTAAAGTCAAATCACTAATATATGACATAAATGCAGAGGCATTACTGTACATATAAATATTTTTGCTGATCCTTTTATATATGAACAAATCTTTAAATTATTTGTCATGCCATATGGTAATATTAAATACTAAAATTTAAATAGATAAGTGCTGGTGCTTTTAATTGCTTGATAAAATTTAACTACGATAGAGTTTTTTTTTTCTGTTAATGTTAAAATCTTTTTGTTTTAAGACACTTCTTGTCTTTCTAAAACAAATAATTGACCCCATCATGCTAGAGGGGAATAAAGTACTGCAGGAAAAGAATTAAGAAAATCTAAAAAATCTGAAAGGTTTCAGGTTTTAAATTGAGTCCAAAGGGGCATTTTCTTTAAAGTTTTGTGTGTTACCTTTCTTTATTGAATATCATGTTCTATATGTACTCAAACTTCAAAATAATTTTTAAATGAGCATATCTGTAGGATTTCCGATACAGTGTCTGACATGCTGGAGATAAAAATGTTTTTTTCGTACAGTGTTGCCATTGTTCACTTTGAAATCATTTACTTTTTTAATCAAAAATCTGTTGAAGTATTACAAAATATGAAATCGATAATAAAACAAAATTTCAAATTCAAATGAGGGGTTTCACATGCCCATATTCTATGGAAGATTACATTATTCAAATTTCGATGGCTCTAGGTATCATTGTTTTATCACAATGCAAGAAACATACATACATGTATGCAGATTCTTCATTATTTAATTTCTTTAAATATAATACAGGGCGATAATATTTGATGGCAACAATTTGAAAAGTGAAACAATGCAATCATGAATCAATGCCAAAACAAGATTAATAGTCCTTCTGGGCAAATTGCCCCATTGGACTAGGGTTATACTTTTTATGTAAACATATAAAATAAAACTCTAAATAAGTGGAACCACTTCCATCAAAATATTTAAAAGTTTGTGTAAATGGGTTGTCCTTCCTCATACTCCTAAAAACCATTGAAATCTCTAATTCTGAGGGAATTTTATTTTTTCATTTATAAATTATTTCAAGAAGCTGCATTAAGTTTTACTTCTGTTCTGCAAAGCACAAAAAATATGCTTACCCACAGAAAAATTCCATAAAGAAACCATTTGTTTTCCTAGCTGTACAATTCGTTTCTTTGATAATGAAATTAATTTTCACTTACATAGACAAAAAAATTAAATATGGAATTCTGTGTTTATTTTTTTAATTAAACAAAGACATTTTATATACAGTAAGACCCCGCTTAACGCTGTTTCGGTTTAGCGCTCTTTTATTTCACCTCGGGATTCCCCGAAATTGCTCGCAGCGTGAACTATGGGGATTCCTCGAAATTGTGTGTAGCGGTAGGTTTCCAAATAACATATCCGAAACTTTGTAGTTATGTTTCTTGTTTGGTGCGGTGAGGTGCTGTACGGAAGCATTTTTATCATTTGAAACATTTGTTGACATTATTGTAAGTATAAATTTACATAATACTATAATGATTAATACAGTGACAAATATTATGATCTTTAGTTTTTATCATGGGTGATAATAAAAAACAAGAAAAGAAAGCAACCAGAAAAAGCATTTCACTGGAAACTAAAATGCAAGTGATTAAAGATTAGATTCTGGTGAGAGTCAATCTCAAATTAGTGCTGTATTGAATTTGGCAACTTCAACAATAAGGACAATTCTTAAGAATAAAAAAAAAGACTGTCATCGGCAACTGCAACTACGTCAAGTTCTGCAACTAGAATTACCCGTTCTAGAAATAACATTATAAGAGGAAAGTGGAAAAACGACTGTCTATATGGATTGACGACGAAATTGAAATGCAATATGCCGTTAAGCCAATCTGTCATAATGCCTTCTTGACAAAAAGGCAGGTAGAAAATTGGAAACACAGAATAGACTGAATGATCTGACTGGCTTTAGAATTTTATTTGTTTTTATAAATATATTCGTTTATATTGTTTTTATTTTTGTAAGAAATAAATATTTGGTTTTATTTTTATTAAAAAACATTATTAAATTTAATACCTAACCAATTTTCTATCCATCTTCCCCTAACTCCATTATTTACATGTTAAGATAGCCTCGTTTAGCGCTGTTTCGCATTACGCTCTACTTTGATGGAACGGATCCCCCGCGTTAAGCGGGGTCTTACTGTATATTTAAAATAGACAAAACTTATTCTGCTGGATTAAAATGAATTAAATCATTTTTTTTTAAACTGCAGTAAAATATAAAATTAACAATATAATTTGCTCCACCATAGTTCACATGAAGTACAGATGCCATAATACAGGAAAATGAATATTCATATTAGCAAGGATAAATTATACAGTTTCACAAAAAATGCCAGTGCTCAAAAGACTGTCATTCCTCAGGCCTTTAAGGGATGCAGATAAAAGAGTGTGATCTCTGAAGCCTTTCAGCCTCCACAGTAGACCAGAAGTAACTTAAGCATCCCATTGACCATATTCAACTGTTGGAATAGAATAAATTTAAAATCATCAATCCTTTTAATGACTGAGCATCATATTATCATATTTAGGATTACTATATTACAAAAAATTAATTTAATTTTTTTGTCTGTGTTAGTTTTTCAAATATGCAGCAATGGTGTAATTTTTCACAGCAGAATTATTTCTTCTGAAATAAGTTTAATTCATAAGATATCTACATGATTTTTTTATAAATTAATATCTTATAAATTCTCAAACAAAAATGCATCTTAATAGAAGTTATTTTATCATGAACAAAGGTTTTGATAAAATAATTCTTATGTGATATAATTGGATAAAAGGCATAGGAAAGTAAAATTAAGGAAACAAAAAAGAAATGCATACATTGATGCCGAATTTGAAGCAAATTTTTAAATAAACATTTTGGTATTCCAGATCAGATATTTTATTATTTGTCATAGCAGGATTTGAATAAAATATCCAGATGAAAATGAAGATGCAAGTTTTTATCAGTGAAGTATCAAAACTATGTGTTCATAGTTTGGAATATGATAAGTGTTTGTTTGAAAGAGGGTGATTACTTTATTTGATGAACTTTATTTATGAACTGGATCTTTTATTATATATGATCCCAGGTTTTGACTGAGTTTTAACCTGAGACTGATTGAAAAGTTTATCCTGTCATGAAACTGGTGTAATATCTAAAAGAATGCAGTGTAAAATTCTGTAGTGATGTTCCTCTTTTGGTGAAGAAATATACTGATTAATTGAATATTGACAGTATTAGATGATAAATGTTTTCCTTATTAATTTTTCATTGAGAATATTATTGATATCCCATGATTTGAAAGAATTTTGATCAATGTTCTTTCAAGTGTGTACTACAGACTATTGTATTATCATTAATTAAAATATGACTTCATAGTTCAAAAGGATATTTAACCTAAGGAGTTGTTTTGGAAATTTATTGGTGACAGGTTTTGGTCTAGTATGCATCCATATAAAATACATTAAAATTAGGCCTTATTTATGTTATCCTTTATAATAATATGATAAAAATCACTTTAATATTATGGAAAAGAAGTATTGAAATTCACAATTTAAAAAATATTTGAAATGTCCTTTTTTTCGCATAGTTTTTATGAAAGGTTGATAATATAGTGAGCTTTTTGTGTTGCATTTCTGATTAAATAAGATTGTAATTTTCATGTTATATGGTAATTTAATTAACACATTCACAAGTAAAAAAGCTGTTAACATATTTTTCCATGAGTAAAATATTTTCTTTATGGCAGTACAAATTAAAATGATAGCATTTAAATAGTTAGTGATTTTTTGTTCATTATCATTGATTTTCGTTCCTTAAGTTGATGTTTTCCTGTTATTGATATTTCATAAAACACAAATCTTTTATCTTAATTTACCATCATCATGTATGTAATATGGAAAAAAATAAGATAAAATAATTATTCAAGATTTACATTAATATGCATCTGTTTATGAAGCTAAAATATGAACTACTGAATTTTCATTCTAAATACAATAATATCCTTAATTCAAATTGTAATTTGTTGCTTGACTAGTGATAGAAGTGGTGATCAAGGTGATTTTCCTTCGACTTTGTATTAAAATAGACAGGCTTGTATTAGATATTAAAATTTCACTAAAATAATAATGTCTGTATTCATTTGCATTTAATAAAAGTTTTAGTATGAATGGAATTAAAATATATAATAACTGCATGGAATGAAATGATTATTAATGTTAACAAGCGTATGTAATTTACACCATAATTATGAAGTTAAACAATCTTTAAAGATGAAAAAATGCCAGTCTGATACAAGGTTTATTTTCCTCTTTGAAACACCTCATAGCAGGCTTCCCCTTCCCCTTTACCTGGTTGTTGCTGCTTGGTGGTCATCCAGATCAAGTCTTCAAATACATTCTGCCTAGCTTAGATGAACTTTAACCTTTTAAGTAATACTGAACTCATCATTTCCCTGTGTAAATAAAGCCAGTATCTTCAAGAATGCTTTGGTTCTGAAATTTCTGATCATCAAATGCGAGTTCCTAACCCACACGAAAAATTCTTGAGCATACTTCACAAAAATCCTGTTTCTTAACAGTTGAGAACAGGGAATATAAGTGTGAGATGACATAAATTGAGGCAACTTGAATAGGGGTTTTACTGTATTTAATATCTTAGAGAAGGGAACAAATTTAATTTTTAATTAAATTTCAATGATTGAAATAATAACACAGCAGTCCGAATAATTGACAGGACATCAGGAATACATTTAATGTGCACTGCATACAGTATTTACATTTACATTATATACAAATACATTATTTACAAACTTAAATTTCTTGTATAATTACCAAAAAATTTATTGTTGATGAAATATTTTTAAATTCATTTAGCATTAAATTTTGCTGAATTTAAACATCGAATTTGTTATTTAAAAGAATTTAAATGAATATTCTAAAAAAAAAAAATAGTAAAGTCTGCTTTCCAGATAAAGAAATGGACAGAAAATGAGCTTTTGAAGCAACAGAGGCATTGCACGAACATTCTGTTAGTCTCATGGACTTTATATTTTACTCCATTAGTTTTCAAGAGATGTGCCTAAGTTATCCTTTGCATCATACTTTTTAAACTTCTTTAACCTGCAGTCACTTTTGATAAGATGTGCCCTCCCTAGTATGTTTCCTTTACTAAAAGGCAGGGAGATAAAGCCGTACCTTTAAGCAGACTTTACTGCAAATAAAAGACCTTGTCAGTGATTAGGAAATATTGCTACTGACAAAGAAAGGACTAATCTATTCACAGCTTAGTGACATTAAAGTAATTACAAAAGTTCCACAACATAAACAGAATTGAGAAACGACTACAACTGGGAGAAAGTACATACTAATAACAAAAGAAATCAAAAATTAATTCTGTACTACAGGGGTGGCCAACTTGTTAATTTCTGTGACTATCTTTTATATTTTATGTGTATAACAAAAAGAAATAATTTTGGACCCCTGAAATATCATTCATGCTGTATATTGTTTTCTCACAAGTTTTAAATTTCAGGAACATCTCTGTGAAATAATGATTTAGTATAACCATATAAAATTATGGTATTTAAACCCTGTGATGTTCTGACCTCTTTGATGTTTCTTTTATTCAGATGTCTTTCAAAGTGGCCCAGTGTTACAGAAAATTTTGATATCAACATTAACATTACAATGACTTATTACAAAAAAGATAAAAAAACAAAGCAAAATAGCAATTTATTAAGATTATAAAAAATAAAGTGACATACAGTAATATAATTGTTGATATCTGTTTAACATATAGCAGTGCAAAACATTTCCCTGCGGTTTTTAAAGTCACTTGTGTTTTTTGCCATCTGTCAGATTATGCAAACTGAATGCAAATTTTTTAATAGGTAACTAAAAATTCAAATTGCACTTTAAATGACAGAATAAGCTTCTGCAATCCATTTATTAGACACTCCTGTTGTACTGCAATAAATCAGATTTAAAATCTCACTGAAGTAAATTTTTGTATGTAGTATATGACAGTTACATTTTCTGGTACGGTATTTTCTGATAAAATTTAATTCCAAACATCCATTCAGAGCCAGAACATATAAAAGTAGGCAGTCAACCTACATGGATGCCATTGAATAGTGTATGCTCATCAGCTTTTTAAATTCAAGAGTTAAGATCCTTCCATCTCTGATAACATTTTCTAACTCTTAAATGATTGTTTTTTTAGGGATTCAAAATTATTGTGCATGGTTCTGTACAAATATTTATATGCATTCACATAAGACCAAGAGAATTAGAAAAGTAATTATGTTTGATAATGAATAACATATACATCTTTCCTTCAAAATGCCCTTTTAATCACAGTTAATAATCACTGCAGCTGTCAAGTACTTTTGACGAACTGCTCATTTTATAGTTAGTGAAAGGCATTTTAAGCTTAAACCAGTGAATCCGATTTTATCATTTCTATTATTTATAAATATGTGAAATTATTTGATTTAAAATTCACTTCATAGAATAATGATCACTGGTCATTATTTTATGAAGTCTAAATAGATAATTATTAAAATGATATAATAAAAATATTTTTAAAACATTTTGTTCTGCCATAAGTTACATGTAACTGTAATATAAAAAATATATTTGATGATTCTTCAAATAATGTTCTGTAGAATATTTCAGCCCAGTTGTTAGGATTTACACTAAAACATATGACTTCAGATGTGAATATTCATATTTTTTTTTTTAAATTACACATCAACTTTGGAAGTGATTACATGCATAACATACATTAAAAAAAATTTAACTATATATTTTAAAAACTCTTAAAATACACTGGAATATAGACAAAACAGATTAATATGTTTTAGTATTTAGAATTTTCTTAAAAATTACCTATGAATATGATTTTTGAGTGTAGGCAACGCGACTTTTTTTCCCCTAAATGATTTGGATTTTTCGCGATTCCTATCATGTAAATCTGTACATATAATATTCAAACCTTCTCTTCGGTTCACACTAAAAATGTAAGTAGGTATTTTGACTAATGTCAGTACGTTGTAGACTTCGTACAGTTACGTTATTAGGTAAACGCCAAATTCAGCCAGGATGACATTAATTTTGTATAGATAATACTCATGATTACTTTCAGAACTTGCATTAGGTCATCTGTGAAATAAGTAGTTTCAGTGGTAAACTGATTGTTAGCAATAACGGCAAGCCATAGTTTTGAGTATTTTTTTATTATTGTTTTTGTCAAATCAGCATGTTTTTATTAGTATTAAACAGAGTTTCTCAAACTTTTATCTGTGCAAAAGTTTAGAAAAATATTTATATTTCAAGGAATATTCTATACAGGCATTACAGATATTTAGCCTAATCATCATCATTTCATGCAAGATCTCTAATGATGTTTTAGGGAATACTAGAATTCCAGGGAACCTGAAGTAAGAATTGGTGCTGTGAAAGAATTCAGTAATTACAGTGTGGGTTTTTTCAGGCTGTGTGCTAAAATGAAATAACTGAATCTCGAGTCAAAAGTATTCAAATTAGTTTTGTGACTGAACGTAAAAAAAAAGTGATCTTGTTTGAACTGATAAATTTGAGTTTTTTATCAGCTGTTTAATTCAGTTTTTTTAAACTCCTCCCCTTTTCTCATTAATTTTTTTACAACATTTCACAATTTATTTAACACATTATGGAAGTATTTATATGAATGTTGAAAACATAAAATGTGAAATGTCTGAAAACATGGAATCTTAATTATAAATTTTTCAAGTTAAGCAATGGCATCATAGATTATGTATATTATAAATAAGTCTGAACCAGTATGATTAATTTTGGGGTTGAAGTAGAGTTAAATGTCATTTTTTAACTGTACAAAATAATGGGTCATTAAATACGGAGTCTTGAAATATGTCTCGACGTATGTATGCTTGCAATACCTTTCTCTTGCTTTTGAGTTTTTGCTGCTATTTTGATGAGCATTAGTCTTAAATAATTTTATTTGTAAAATAAAGCATAATTTTTAATAAAGGCGAGTTTAAAAAAATCTGCTATCAGAATCTAAATGTTAAAAAAAGCTATGTTGTTTCTGGAATACTATGAGTAACCTTAGCGCTTAAAAAAAAAAAAAAGCTAAATAATGGCAAATTATGCATCAAGAGCAAATCAAAAACTTGCAAAGGCAAAAAAATGTATAGTAGGCTGTTCAGTGGGAAACTGGAGAGGTTGTGCTAATTTCGCGTACAATTGAGGTCTTTGTCAGGTATGCAAAACATTGACCCTTCAGTTCTCAGTAGATGGTGTTAGCACAGCAGCGTTCGACAAGATGGCAATGTCTTTACAGTATGCGTCAAACAAGAGAAGTATTGCCAGATTTTTGTTAAGCGAAAAAAGTAATACACACGTAAGTTCATTGTCAAATTCAGTACGATGACAAATGTGTGAATCGAGTGGACAGAGAAGGTGAAAATCGGCATTATTTAATTTTGAGAAGTCATCTCACCTTGGTAACAAATGAGAACATTTCACATTGCAGTCGTCGAAAATACGGTACGAGAAATCAAGCAGATATCTCTAGTGGATTTTTAATACTGAATCATTATATCCTGCCATTCGTGAGAAACTGAAGTCATACAGAGTACATGCAAGAGAGATACACAAGGTTGACACCAGAAATGAAAGAACAACGTGTTGATGCTTGCTAAGAGCTTCTCTCTTGTCATAGGCTGGAGGTGAAGCATTTTTACACCCTATCATCATTAAAAATGAAAAGTGGTACACTTTTGAGTGTAACAAAATTCCGGTATGATGATGAGGTTCGGTCCGCGGTACATGAGTGGCTGTGCTTCCGCCAGGAAAATCATTTTCCGCGGTATTCATGTGCTTGTCAAGCACTGACATAATAACTAGATAAAGACGATTATATTGAATAGTGGAATTATAGATAGTATTTATCTCAAGGTTTTTAATATCCTCCAAATAATTCCTGTTGTCTGTTGTACACAGCAGTAAACTAGAAGATGACATGTGCTACTCGATGCCATGCTAAGATTGGAAAAAAAAGGGCAAAGAGGACGTTAAATTATTCGATGATGACTTGATAAATAATCTGACATCTTAAGTAAACTGTAAACTTATAGCATGCCGATTCACTTCTGAAAATATTTATGTTTTCAACCTGCGAGTGCACTTTATGATATGGAACACCAGCATGCGCATAGGTATGTCTGACCCCAATACATATATATATTTTTTTTTAACTCGTAACAAAAAGAACATGTTTATGAGATTTAAATGTACTAAATATTTCACCTAACTCAGTGCAGTGTGTTTCTCGCGTATTTTTTTATAGTTATGTCAGTTAGATATGATGGTTTATAAATACTCCCCAAACACAGATCTGCCTTCGATCTCCATAGAATTTCAATATGAAATCGTTTTGTCTTTTGGCATGTGCATCTGCATTTATGACATTTCAAATATTAAGATTTTTTTAAAAATCTGTTTAGGCATTTTGTATTCTGTTAGCAGCTAGTATGTATAGTTCACTTTCTCATACTTTTGCGTTCCCAGAACAGATCAGTTCTCATGAATATATAGAACTGAGGTATTGGAATATTTGGTGTTGGGTATTTTGAAGGATTTCGTGGTTAGAAAATATGCTTGAAGGTACTCAACAAACAAAAGTCAACCAAATAGTTGACGACTATGTCAACAACACATGGCAGCAGTTCTCTGGAAAATGGGACTATCAAAATCCTCAGTTCAGACGTCATCCGGGTTCCGAGTCCTCACAAATAAGATTCTGAGAACTCGAAGTCCGAACGTGACCCTCTGGAACTGCGGGCTATGGATGTCCCAGTGATGAAACCCGAATCAGACGTCGGGTCGTTGATGATGTTGTCTTTAGGTGCCAGCATGACGCCATCTGTGTACTGGCCGGGGACTGTGATTCGAACTCTGTCCCCTGAACCGACTGTGGACGCGACTTGTAAACTCCGTAGATTACTCCTCTCTTGTAAGGCCTGGGTCACTTGCCGAATCTGTTCTTCCCTCTGAGGAAAAGTAGAATAATATAACTGGTTATTTGCAGGAAAAGTACAATTCGTTATACTGTCAAATATTGTATTATGAAGCTGTTTATCGAACGCTTCATAGCAGTCTTAATTATAAAGTAAGATCTGTTATAGATTCACTACAACCACTAAAGCGAGATATACCTTGATGTGCCAAAACTAAATCATAGCGCTTACTTTTCCATGCACCATACTAAGTCAACTAGGTATTGGACTCATTGTTTAATTGTATTTAAGCCATGCACATTTTGTGGATCTCATAACGAATCCCAGTTTTTTGCAGCCCCTTCAAACATTGAGGTCTTGCATATTATCCCATAGCAACAGGAGTTGATGTTCGGCATTCACGGAGGCTAATAGAAAAGAAAATCAGGATAGTGTTCATGGAACTAGTTTTATGCACTGCTTGCTTGATGGATTATCGATCAAACAATCGTAACCCGGAAACATGGCTTTTATAAATAGGTACAAATGAAATGACTAAGGTCTCTATATATCATTCTTGTCAAGAAAGGCTCTGATTCATCTAGTAATCCTTGCATATTTATATTTCAAGGCAGCATAAGCACCATGGCAGAGCCATCTTAATATTTCTGAATGAATCCATAACATCATGGCAGCTCCTTCACGTGCGAAAGCATATCTTTTAGTCAAAACAGCTTAATATGTTATTTGTTCAAATAAGGTCAAATGATGCATGTTATTCATATTTTCGAAGTCATAATTCTCTTATTTAGGTGAAATGTATTGTCAGATGCCACTTTGACACCCAATGTAACCCTGTTAACCGACGGTTTGCAGGCTTCATGGAATGTAATGCATATTATACGGTACATTCATTGACTGGTGGTTTGAGCTGCAGCAGCATTGAACTGTATTCTGAATGACACAGTCGTTCTCAAATGATTCCGTTCTTCCATGCACCTCAATTTTTTCATGTATTGTTTTCTGAAACTTACATAGTTCCAGCATATTCTTCCAATGCTGCTCGTAAAAATTGAAGAGCTTTTATTGCTTTGGAAGACAGAGCGCCTCATTCTTCTCACCTTCAAATTACGATAAATAATGCACACAGGTCATCTTTAGCAAATCGACAATGAAGTATTTTATTTAAATTCTTGACCGTTACGATATCCATCCGTCATTTTGATGCAATCATTCTCATCGTGGAAGAAACCACCCAAAGCTTAGTTAAATGTGAATGATTTGTAACTCTGCTACGTGTGACGTAGTGAACTGAGAATGATTGTTGAATGCCTACTTAATTATAAAATGCATTAATATATTCTCAGAGCTTAAATAGCGCTGGAACCTGGCTCCGCTACTTCTCAATTTCTCAGGTAAATCGTAATTCTAGCCGAAGCCCTAAATAAAAGGGATCCAGCACTTCTTTTAATTAAGTGAAACACAGTTTCAGCAGATAATTAAAACAAAAATATGCCCTAAAATCGATTTTAACTTCCAAATGCATGTCTGTCTTTCTCTAGGGAACAAACACTTTGACGGAGGTTAAGAAGAAAACCCCCACCCGCATGTCATCTTCTGTTAGTGTAATAAATTTATGAAAGCGGGTAAAATATTTTGTTCCCGAAAGTATTAAAAGTGATTACTTTGGTAGTCCACGTCCAGCACTAATGACCTCACTGCAGAGTTCCCTCAGACTTTGAACTATGTAACCAAATACAGAGGACAAAAATTGTCTTATGCAGACCTTACATGTGTTCTCATGTTGTCATCGGATTATATTCGAGGGAAATTTTGGCCCAGTCGCATTCTGCTTGACAGCTAGAATTATATTGGGAGGTCATCGCTGTCAGAAAGCGTTGGACTCTTCTCTCTTTGTTTTCGAAGGTACACTTCTCCGTTAAGATTCTTTCCATAATCTCATACTGTTTCTAGTATTATCTATATTTTACTTTTCTCCTCAAATGTTCTGAAAAAAGAATGGTTTTCGTTTTTTCATCCATTGAAATAGCACGCTATACCGCATATTTAGAGTCTAAATTCAGTTGGATTCTGGCTGAGCTATTTCTTAGTTTTTGAATGAAATTTTAAGTCCAGCCGATATTTTATTTCTTTTATTTAACTGTTTGTCTTTAATTTAATAATTTATTAAATTTTTATTTATATTTTTTTTGAATTTTAATTTAATTATTAGTTATTTAATTTATTTATTTTCCCCCTTCTTCGTGACGGATTCGCGTTTCGCTACCGTGATATGCATAAATTACATGATCATCTGGAAATATTTCCCGGATTGATCGTTGGCTAACTGTGAATGATCTGTAACTCTGCCACATGTGTTATAGTGACCTCCGAATGATTGTTGAATGCCTTAACTATAGCATGTATTAATATACCCTTATTTTAGGAGAACTGGCTGGCATCCACATGACATATGGGAAACAACATGAAAAGGCAGATGTAGCCAGCTTGTTCCTTATACACGCTTTTTGTAGAGTTTGAATGAGGAAGGTTCAAACTAACTACTCACACTGTTTGCTGGAGGTTAAAACTTAAGAGCTTACCTAGCCAAAATATGTATACGGTGAAATTACTTATCATAACTATTTTTCAATGTAAAAACTAAGACGCTTCCGACAGTTTTTCCTCATGGCAATCATTTTCAGTATACTACTTTGATGATACATGTTTACCATCTGTGAGCGATCGCTTGCACTTTCTCAGCCATTAACAATTGGAGAAGTTGCTACGATTCCACGCAGTAACTGTTATATGCTATTGCTTCTCCCACTTCCCATTGAATTTCATCCAGAGCTCTTCGATTAGCTAACAGGAAACGAATTACAGGTCCTTAGGTTCAATTTAGGACGTCATTAACAAAGGCAACATTTGATCTGCTGTAGTAAAATAGATAAGACTAATAGTTTGTCACTTTTTGAGTTCCAAAAGAGAGAAAAATTATTTGACGTTATTTTTAGATTTTTGTTTCTCAGATATATATATAGTTAAAAGAAAATTCCTAGTTCGTACGCTAAAAAGTTGCTTAAATACTGTGGTTCCGTGAAAATATTAACATAGGCAAAATAAGGTGCAATGAAATGTGTTATACAATATTTAGAAAAATAAACAATACAAACACTTGAATATTTAAAAATAAAATTCGATACTAATTGTAAGTAATATGCTAATCAAAGTAAGACATATTTTAAAACATTAAGAATTAAAGTGCGATCAAATGATTTAAAGCAAAAATAATAAAAACTAAGAAGCGGTAAAAAATGGTAGATTAGCTTAATTCGAATCTCCATTATGGCTCTTCAGGGGAAATTATTTTTTAATGAATTTCGAATCAAGCTAACTCCATATCGCGTTTCGCCGAAACACACAATTGAAACTGTACGCGAAACACTTTTTATAAATTAATTGAAAAAACTTTGCCAAAATCTTTAGTCTCAATTCTCTGTTACAATTTCCCGACGCGTCCGCTTGAAGACACACATTAAGGTGTAATAAAAACAATAGATAATGGAATGGTAATGCCGATGTACAAAAATAAATAGCGGTTTGCTATTAGTCAAAATATAGAAGATTTTATGGGAGGACCTACTAGCTTATAGAGTTTATACTTTGGTAAAAGTACCAAAAATTAAATTTAAAATTTAAAATAATAATAATAAAACAGAGGAATTTAAGTAAGGGTCTTGCCAAGACCAAAAATCTACATGAGAGAAAGAAATATTTTTTTTAAAACCAGACCTGGAGAGGCGCCGTCTTCATAGTAGTAAGATCAAACTCAAAAGGGGGGTGCAAGCAAACTGCTAACCAACAAGGCAAGATGATGTAAAAAGGGGGAAACACGTCATGAGGAAAGAGAGAATGAAAAGTGACTGACCGTTGGCAAAAACCTGACTCAGGGCAAGGGGGGGTCAATGCGTTGAAAGAAGCTAAAACTGTTCAAGATGGCGTCTTGCTTTACGAGTCTGAAGAAATTTGCGCTGGATGAAAGAAAAAATGGCTTATTCAACAAAATGTTATAATATGGCCACAAAAGTAAGAAGAAATAATGAAAAATAGCTATTTGTTAATTAAAGTCCAAATTCTTCAAGATAGAGGGTGATCAAGCTACCAGAAACAAAATGGCCCATAAGTCAATAACAGGAAAGAATTGGCCAGCAAATGCTTAAAATCTATTTAAGAATAGAATTAAAAGTATTGTGCCAAATTTTAAAAGGAAAAATTGAATCTGTGAGAGGAACTATTTGTACATTTATACATTAGATCTTCTGAATCAGCCATCCACTTTACACCGTCCCATAGGGCTTTAAGCATAAAATTTCATTATCTAACTCAAAAAAAAACCTAAAAGATAAAGTTAATGCCAGCTTTTTTAATATTATAAGCAAAGTGGGAGACGTACAGTGATACCTCACTTATTTCACGAACAATTTGATTTGCAAACAAAATAATTATCTGAACAAAAACATCTTGGATGACAAACGGTGTCTCGAAGAACACTCAAGTCGATATGACAGATTTTCAAACGTTTTCGAGGTACCTACACCACGTAATTAATACTCAGGGACTTCTAAAAGTATTTTAATATTTTCCATTGCTTAACTCTCATTAAACTTGACAGCAACTGACTTAAAAGACCATGAATTCAGCGTAGATGAAATTATGATTAGATTGGATTGCAGGCAGAGGCGTTTTCGTTTTGGTTATTTGTGACGTTATATCTCTAGGCAAAACCGCGGGTTAAGAAGTTAACAATAAAGATGTGAAGATGTTACTAAAAATCCATAAAAATGAACTCAAAAAGAAAATAATACAACTTACTAACAAAATGCGACTGCGGAGGAAATTTGATTTCTGATCGGCGAAATTCGTGCAAAATGAAGTTAGATGCAAAGTTTTCACGTATCGTTATCACCCTCATAAAGCAGTAGTAAGCTACAGCATAAACATTTTCAGTCCCGATGTTGTATCTTATTTTCAAAGCATTTCTTAAAACGCAA